TTCCCTACTTTATTTTGCTATAGGAAAAAGCATCTCTTAAAATGTTTTAGTACAAAAAGTATTTTAAGAACAAGATCCAGCTTGTGTAGGAAATACAGTTCATAAAAGATAAATGAAGTGCTCCATGAGGACACTGCAGTATATTTTAAACTGTCACTGGTATGAAAACTAGGCACATACTGAAGTTCTTTGTTGAAACAGAACACTTTTGCATCCTCTCAAAAATTAGTAATATACTTTGCTGAAACTAAGCCTTAGCGATTTTGTTCAGTACTTAGACACCAAGACAGAATAAAAAAACCCAAACCAAACAAACAGTACTTGAATGTCATTCAATTATCTTTATTCTCCTTATGCTAAGATGATCAAAGCTTACAGTAAAAAACATTACAGCCTCACTAGGGAATCTGCAAAAATACAGAGGTATACAGCATTTCCTCCAGACTGTGGAAAAAGGCAGTATGTGACATATGAGTGTTTGGGGGAATAAGAAGAGTTTACCCATCTGCTTGGTGTCCTCAGAAGCTGGTCAAGCCCTGCATCACTGCTTATAGCTACACAGGACATTCAACGAGCTCTTGAAGAGAGAACATGTCTTGGTATGCTTATGCATGCCATACATAAAAATCTTGAAGGCCAGAGCTCACCACCAGAATCCTGGCTTTTCCCATCCTGACATGTGCAGGAAACTCAACAAAACCCCCACGAACAAAAGCACCTCCCAAGCAGTCTGTGTTCAAGTGAAACAGCCCCACCAGCCACACTTGCCTCTCCTCTGCCCTCTCATGTGTCTTGCAAAATTTTGAAGGATGCTAACTCTACGCTTCCCTTCTGGAAGTTTGCTTATTCTTTGGTGTGATAATCTCCGACTTCACAGCAAATGTAGTTTTATAGCTATTTAAAGAAAGTCCTGAAAAATAGCTGTCTAAAGCACCTAGGAAAGCTGACAACATGTAATACACCTAGAGGTGTTCTCTTGCCTTCTGAAATAAATGGAGTTGACTGCTGAGCATACTATAAGCACGAAGCATATTACTCAAGAAAAGTAAAGTAGCTGTAAACAGTAGAAAATTACCTGCTTCACAGATGGGATGTACTGCATGAAAAACTGTATACACAAAGCAAACCGAAGATGCCTAAAATCTGGAAATTAGTTTGCCACCACCACTGTCTGTCTCTGTACACCCTGAGCAAATCCTAACTCTTAGCACACTAATGTCCTGTCCCACCAAGGGAGAGTATCAGTTTCATGTTTTGAATGTGTCTGTGTTCACCCATGAATGCAGCACTGTTATCAGGGCCTATAAGATTATTCCCGTGAGTGCATGGAAATCATGCAGGCAAGCTGAGCCATAGAGAAAAGACTTTATGATTTTGGTGGCCCTCCTTTTCTCCCACCCGTATTCTGTTGTTTTAAATTCTCCTGTGGGTTTCTCCTCCTACCTATTCCTGCATCCAGGCTTTTCATTTGATTTGGATGGGTACCACAAGAGGAGGCTTCCTCCTCTTCCTAAGAAGAAAAGGCTGGATCATGAGGCACAACCCTGGAAACCATCTCACAAAATTACAATCCCTCTTGTTCCACCACTGGTATAAGTTCATGTATAATGCATAAAAATGAATTTGTGTAACTTGCAAAACTCCTTGCCTTTCATTCTGAATGATGTCCACCACAAACTGAATCTGGGAGAGATGGGGGAAATGTGTAATTAAGCTTCAGTTCCCTATTGCTACGTGTATTGCAAAGAAATGCCTTTATTGCTGAACGTCTGCACACCAATATTATTTTTTGTTTTCTTGAATACAATGATCTGAAAGCAAGAACTATCTTCCTGAAAACATCTTTGTAGAGTAATGGGGAATTATGTATCAATCACTTCTAACCAAGGAGACAATAGCAATGTGATCAGGCCCCTCTGGTTTTGTTCACCTGCCTCTCTCTTGCTAAGAATTTTGAAAATTTTAGCTAATTTCAACCACATTACACACAGGGGTGGAGATATCAGATGTATGAAGTTTCATGAAAACAGGCAGCAAGGTAGCAGGCAGAGATTATTAAGGTTTCCACTGAGAAAAAGGCAGCGGCAGAGGCTCATCTCTTATTAAACACTTGAGAATCCACCCTTGAGAGTACCTATGAGCCCATTACAAACATACTCCATTATTTACACTGCTGATAGGGCTACTTGTTAACTACCTCGTTCTGTCATAATTATTCATATATCAGGCACTCAAAACAGTGCTATTTTTCCTTATATTTATGTATCTTAAAACTGCAGAGTCTGTGATCAGCAGTAACAACAACTGAGAAGGATTTGGATATTAACGTAAAGGTGTGGGCACTTGGCCCCACACCGTGTGTTTCACAGTAAACAGGTGATGAGAAAAAAAGGTGGCTGGTATCAAGCTACATACTAGGCTGATTTTTCAAGGCAACTTTGATCTTAAAAACAACAACAAGAATACAACTGTGTCAATTAAGTCAATTTTGGTGCTTATAAAGCAAATCAGTGAATCAGTGCAGAACTGGCATTAATCAGGCAATCACAGTTACTTGAAGGGATGAGCTTGTCATTTACTGTTTTCTGAGCACACTGCAGAAATGTTCTGCAACAAGCCTTACTCTGGGAATTACAGTAATAAAGTCTCACGGGCAGGAGTGTGACTCTTGTTATTCTGAAGTCAGAACAAAATTTAAAGGAGTCACAGGAAATAAAAGCTGTTCAACTTAAAAAGCTGAACCATCTTCCTAACATCCCGACAGCAGTCTTTGCAGGGAAGCGAAACATTTCAAAATGATGCCAAGACTTAATGTGACTGCACCTCCACAGAGATCCTTCTGTACCTGGGCACACGCATGAGAGAGCTGTCTCGGATCAACAACTCGGTGAGCATTCTGTTTTCCCAGGGCTGAGGACATGGCAGCTCTGATTTACCCATCTGGAGATCTCCGTCAAGGATTACTGCAGGGCAGGGAAAGAACTCCGAGAGCAGGGGTAGGTGATACAGCTGAGTATCATTAGCAGACTCATGGCACTCTACCCTATGATTAGAATTGATGTTACCAAAAGGTACCACCTGTGCATCAAAGCAAATGGGAAACAAGAGATCCTTGAGGAAATGCTACACTTCAAATCCCTCAACTACCACTTGTCTTCAAAGCTATGTAGCTTAATTCTCCATTGTCTTGTCAGTATACACACCCCGCACCCTCTTCATCTGAGCCATCTCGTATTCACACAAACAACAACAAAATGAAAGCCTATGCTGGGCAAGCTAATGTGTGTACAATATTAATGGAAAATGGATTGCAGGAACAGAAACAGATATCAAAATGAAAAATTCTTGAAATACTGAAATTGAAGATGGAAGTTATTCAACTTTTACATAGTAGGTAGCTGAAATAAAATATGCCAAGAAAAGACCCGAGATGAAAAGTACAGTCTAAAAACACAGACCCGGAATGAGGTTTCTCTTCGAATATCAGGATAAGACTCTACTGTGTTGTGTATATCAGAAGTGGTGGGGCTTGCTTTGCTCTGACTTATACAGGCAAAGTTTAGGAGTTACCCTGGAGTCAGCGTGTTAAACTGTCCTCAAGAGCTTCTGCAGAATCAGAGGAAAGGAAGAACGACACAGGTTAACAAGAGTCTCTTTTCCACTGAGAAAATCAGCAGTTTGGCAGATAGGCTATAATTATTCTGGTCTTCACAGGACTCTTGGGAAGGCACCACTTGGATTTCTTGGCATATTTTTAAATCCAAAATAAACCCACTAAATTTCAAGAAGGAAATTTCCTTGGGGCTCCCTATTCTATTTGTAGCAGTTGCAAATCATCCAATAACCTGAAAAAAGAAAGCTTATATTTTCCATTCAGTTCCCTTTCAAATTACATTCCGACTCCACAAACAATTTATTGAAGTTACTTAAGTTGTGGTGAAATTTGCAAGTGTCTCATCTTATATACAAATTGTGTATTTTTACATATAAAACATACTTTAAAAGTGAATTTTAGAAATACACTACATGGAAGCAAGTTGAAAATGTATTTAAGAAATAAACATATCCCTCCCTGACAGAACTTTGGCAATGAAACTGCAAACAACACCTTTACAAGACAGAGTGACACAAACAGCTTATTGCACAATTTTCTTGTGCTTAAAACACCAATTGAGTCAAAAAGGTTATTGGATATTCTGGTAAGCAATTATGCAGCTTGAGTTAGCTCTCAGCATCAATAACCAAAACATGTAGCTCTAAACTGAAGGCAAGTTATTATTTCAAAGCAGCTCCTAATGGGAGCAAATATCCTAAGTCCCTGATTTAAGAAAAGCTTCCCACTACAATTAATAGGAAGTGTAAGGCTTGATGAAAGGTATTTTTATGTGTGACTATAAACTTGGCCCTGATTACCTTAAATCCAAATTTTTTTCTATCTTCAGCTTGTAGTTTAAGATGGGGGCTATGATGTTATAAATTAATTCTAGTACAAAAGTGGTACAAAAGGCTGTAACAAAGGTCCTGCTTGACTAATTTGATCTCCTTCTATGACAAGGAGACCCCCTTAGTAGACAAAGGAAAGACTGTGGATGTTGTCTACCTAGACTGGTAAAGAACTGTCTGGATGGCTGGGCCCAGAGTTGTGGTGAATGGAGTTAAATCCAGTTGGTGGCCGGTAACCAGTGGTGTTCCCCAGGGCTCAGTACTGGGGCCAGTTCTGTTTAACATCTTTACCAATGACCTGGATGAGAGGATTGAGTGCACCCTCAGCAAGTTTGAAGATGACACCACGTTGGGTGGGAGTGTTGATCTGTCTGAGGGTAGGAAGGCTCTTCAGCAGCATCTGGACAGACTGGATCGATGGGCCAAGGCCAACTCTATGAGGTTCAACAAGGCCAAGTGCTGAGTCTTGTACTTGGGTCACAATAACCCCACGCAATGCTACAGGCTTGGGGAAGAGTGGCGGGAAAGCTGCCAGGTGAAAAAGGACCTGGGGGTGTTGGATGACAGCCGGATTAATATGAGCCAGCAGTGTGCCCAGGTATCCAAGAAGGCCGACAGCATCCTACCTTGTATCAGGACCAACAGGTGGAAAACATGTATCAGAGAATTCCTGTTTGAGATCAATAGCCATGATAATGGCAATAGCTTTCAAGAAGCTAACGCTCAGGATGCTGGGTTCTTTAAATCAGTTTCATCAGACTGTCAACAGGTGTACCATGCTGAGTTAGAGCAGGCGTACAGACATTAGACTGAGTGATACTTGATGGAAAATGAAGATCATGAATTAACTTTATAATACTCTTAGTTTTGACTGATCTGTGCCAACGTAGTAATGCAATAATGCTGAGCAACCTCACGGTACATAGTGTCAGTAAGTGACACTTGGAAGGAAAAATTGGCAAGGAAAGGAGCAGAATATTGAATATACACCTGAAAAACCTCTGAAATAAGTCAAATATATAGACACTTCATGTAACTAGTCATGTGCCACTAAAAGATATCTCTGTCTTGAATAAAGAGGAATTAGTACATGTCTGTCTGGAGGCACTGATGCCTCCAGATTAATCTGGAGCATGATTAATCTGAATAATTAAACAACCAGAGAGAGTAAATTGCCCTGTAGAGCAGGTCCCTTCATAACATAATTTACAGACTCTGTGGACAAAAGGTAACATGTTCATTACAGAAAATAAGACACAGTATTGGGACAACCATATCCTCCTTTCCTCTACAAATATCCAATTCTGGAAAAACTAAATTCGTTATCACAAAGAGATATTGGGTACTGTTATCGCTGCAAAATCTGCAAAGCTTTACACAGAGAGGCGTAATTCTGTATGAACAATAGAAACTTTGGAGATCATTAAAATGTATACTATAAAAGCAGCTACAATAATTTTTCAAACCTTTATATTTTGAAAAATCACAACAAATTTATCTACAATTTATTTTTTGTTACTTGTTAGCTTTTGTCAGAAAAGCTGAAATATTTTATAGGATTGGAAGATCATACTCCTCCATCCATATTTTAAAGCAGTTCTTCAGTTCTTCAGGAAAGCAATCACCGATGAACTCACTGACAAACTCTTAAATTTTATGGAATAAGGTCAGAAAAAACCAGGAGAAGCTTAAAATGACTCAGAATGGAGTCCTTAATAATAAAAATGTGATGCTTCAGTCAGGACTCCACTTTTCTCCACCCTTTGACTTCATGGAAAGTTATACATTGTACTGGAAGATGTATTTTCTTCTCATTGTTCAATGAATTTTGGTTTTGAAGTATCTGGCTTGAATCTTGTACAATCATTTGTATACTATGTAAAATAACACATTTGATATTATTTGAATAGCAAAGACTATGCATTTTCATTATCTCACTATCTAATATTATATTTTAGTGACACAGTTATAAAAATAGTCTTACATCTAAGTTTTCTTTAATGCTGTAAATGTTAGATTGTTTCTTTATTGTTAGGAGTTCGCTCATGTCAGGTTTACGTGAAAACTGACTCTTGCATCGAAGATTTAGAGCTCATTTAAAGCTCTTGAGATAGAATAACACGCAGGTGTCACTCTTCCAAATTTCACTGAAGATTAACCTAATATGCAATATGGTGACCTAACAGTTCTTCATTTGAAAGAAATCTGAAAAGTAATCTCTGATATAGCTGGAGAGTGAGAATAACCCAGTGGGATTTCCACCTCTTCATTTCCTAATGAGTTTTTTGATAATGAGAGGTGACTTTGCCAGTCACTGTGGGCTCTATTATGGCTAATTTACTCCACTTCACTCTCCTTGTTAATTATTAACACTAGCCTTTTTATCCTCATGAGACCACATTCCAGTTTTTCCCTTTTTAGATTTTTTTTCCTAAATGTATCTTTATGAAGGTGATAGTCTTCAGGAAAAGGTTTCCACTTAGGTTAAAGTCAGAATTATTTATTTCACTTTGGAAGACTGTAAAATTGATTATATAAGCATAGGGAGCTCTTTCTAATGGCTTTAATGCACTTGCAAGGTGAAAAGTCTGTTAATTAAAGAATAAGCACTGAGGTATGTTCCACTTGGGAATCATTTCTTGGTAGAATGGTCAATTGCCACTTGCTAACATATCCACCGATTAAAAGGTGACTAATTTCCACAGTTGCTTTCCAATAGTTCTGGGGGAAAAATGTGTATAATTTTCCAGATGGCTTTCACTTGCCAGAAACTGTCATTTACTGTATCTATTACCATTAGGGAATTACTGAAATTGGTATACAGGTGTGACATTTCATACAGCAATAGTTTTGTACCCTTTAGTTAAAGTTTTACAATCTTTCTAATAATTTCTTTGACATCGAAGTTTTCATAAAATGTCTTTCCTAAGGCTGTTTTAATTATTTAGCATTATTATATATTTAATCTTTTAAAGAAAGAAAAAGCAGTAGCCTACCAGCAACCTCTTTGTATGTGAGGATAACCCTTGTTTGTGTCTATCACCCCTCTCAGGTTGGAACCAAAATGCAAAGAAACGCAAATGACACAATAACATAGCTAAAACTGGTGCCAAAAATCCCTCTTGTAAGAATAAGCTTTCCACAGCTTTCGGAAACCAAATAATTGTTTTAAGTGCACATAACATCACAGCTAGAGAAGTGCTTCCTCAAAGGAAGATGTAAGATGGTAGGAAAGAGACGTGAATACATGCTTCAAATTTTTAATCTGGTTAAAGTAATGACATTTAAGACATAAAGACACCTGCTTAAAGTAATGCAGAATCCACCTTGCAGGACCTCTTATGAGATTCTGCACCAAAGTCAAACAATTCCTACACCCCTCTGAGCAGCCTTCTAAACTGAGCTTAAATTACCACCAGCATGGTAATTTCAATACATTTCTGCAGTTGCAGTTTGTCCAACAAAGGATCCAGATGAAACACTCATGAATATCTTAAAAGCAAACTAAGGGAAACACTAACAGATACATTTTCTTTCACTAGGATAATATGAAAAAAGAAATCACCAGGAACACGGCATTTCATGTATTGCTAAATGTCAGCGTATGGAAACATAGTTCATGAAAAGAGACCTCTAAGACTGGATGTTAATGTTCCTTTCCTCTGTCTTAGGACACATCAAACGTGGTGCAGTAACAGTGACTTTCAATGATCCTGTTTAAGATTTAGCTTTAGTTTAGCGGCCCTGTCTATTTGCTCCTTTTCCTCCATGAAGTTTGTCATCCATCGTGTTACAGTGAATTGCACATTTGCTAGTTGCTCCATTTCATGATAAAGTGCTGTGGATGACCTATCTATTTCAAAAAACACTTGGCAGCTAAGGTTAACAATTATACAATGATAAATAATTTAGGTTGCAACATGTGTAACCTTGGAGAAAAGCTCTTGAATACTATTTTCCATTCTTTCAGTCAAGCAGTTTCCATACACGGAACTTATATTTTTAAAAACTACTGAACTTCCATAGAAATGAAATTAATTTTACAGGAAGAGTTAAAAATTATTTCTTGCATTTAAAATAGAAACCCCCAGATTTTTGATTAATTGGAATCATTCAATAAAAATAGCAGTTGGATCTGCAAAATAATTAAAAAATCAGCAGGTAATTTTCTCATTTTTTAAAAACAGAATATGAATCAACGTATAAAACATAGCATAAATACATTTTTTTCTTTATGATGCCTTAATTTAATGTCTTTAAATTAACACCTAATCACTTTTCTTAGGTTTCATGGGTTATTTCCTTAATTTCATTACTAAAATCACTTTCACACAAAACATGCCTAGGTCATTACTTATCTATTATATATATACAAAAAATCTCCAAACACAAATAAAAGCAAGATAATATGCCTACCTCAAATTTTGGTCTCCAACTCAAAAAATGATACAATAACACACCAAGTGAAAATAACACTCTGATCTGTTGCGTGTATCTTACTCTATTCATGCTAAGCCTACAATACCTTTATAGACGTAATCAGTCTGACAACAGTTTACATGAAGGCATAGAAGGAAATATTAACTACAATTTTATTTAAGCAGTATAGTTGAAATATGAAACGTCAAATACATATTATGATGCTGTTACATCATCGATTTAAAAATCAGCAATTTGTGCATACTGAACGGGTTAAGAGATTGCTGGAATAAGGACTGAAATGGCTCAATGATCGAGAAAAACTACTCAACTTCCAAGAAATGAAGCACCATATATATCATAAACCGAGGCACCGTAACTTTTATTTTGAGAATTAAATTATTTAGAAACACACTTCTAAGGTGTGGGCACGCTGAAAGTTCTTATGCACTCAGTAAGTAAAGAACTTAAAATCTTACTGTCATTTCTGAGAGCGTTATTCAGCAGCTGGAAAAGTGGAAAGCTGTCCCAGGAGTCCTGCGGCTGTGCCTCAAGTGCTGCATCCATATCAACAGAATACAGAGACAAAAACTTCTCTGCATGCTCAGCCAATAATTCTGGCCACCAAGCAAACGCCTGCAAACATGACAAAATAGAATTACTAAACACGAGTCATAAAGCAAAGAGATGTGTTGTTATCTGTGGCAAAATACATTTGGATATGTCACTTCGTGCCTTATCTCATTTGGGGATGATGAACAGGCCAAATGAAAATTGTGAAACTACTTTACAAAACCTTGTGTCAAAAATGTAGGAAATCAAGTAGATTATGCTGGGAAAGATGGTATAATCAGAATAAAAGTATAACACAAAAAAGCAAAATAGGAGTACAAATCCCTGCAACTCTTTTTGCCAGAGAGCAAAGAAAAGAAGGAAGGCCTCATCCTTGAAAAACGAGTGTATATGCTTGTTTTGAATTCATTAATTTCTAAGGCTATAAGAAATCAGATTAATTTTGCACTCATTTGTTAATCAGAAGGGATGGGTTTAGTGTGAAATTTTACTCTTCGAAGTCTAAGGGGTTTTTTTAATAAATACAGAGTGCTTTTTAATTCCTACTTTTGCCCTAAAGATGCCATCTTCTCCTGAGGAAGGCATCCAGTTTTCCTTCAAGAAATGCTATAAATATATCTTTAGAAATTCAGTAATTTCTCTATTAATTTTCAGTAACTTAACAATGTATTGAAATACACAGTTTTCATTGGTAAAAATTTAATATTCTTAGGTAATCCTAGCTTAAAAGAAGAGAAGAAATCTGTGAAAAATAGTGTGCCAGCAAGTAGGGACAGCTCCACATTAAAGTCTGCTTCAAATATAACTCTTGTACCTTTTTACTGTCACTTAAATGTGGGATTTGAAAGGTGAGTACTGAAGCTCAGTATTGGATCAGAGGGAGCTGCATGATCCTGGAGTTAAAGATGAAGGTGAAGTGAGCTTATGAAATAGGATGAATATCACACACTGCTGAGTGTTTTGCTCAGAGTTAACAAAAATAGCCGACAGTGAGAAATACCTACACATACTTGATAAGAAAGGATCTGTTTTCCTACTTAAAACCCTCATTTTGAACATCTCGGTTTGAGTATTTTTGAGTTACCAACATGGGACATAAGCATCTTGATCTATACAAGTACCGACTTCCCACAGCTTCAAATAAAATCACGGAAATCCTCATTTGCGTTTCTGAAATGCAGATCCTAGATAATGTAGAATTATGTACACAGAACTGAAAGGCATCAAATAAAAAACACTTTCTGAAAAGCTATGTACAAATGTTTTTTTGCATCTTGGACTTTCTGATAACTAGCTATAATTCTTTTTGACATGGAGCAAATGGAGAAGAGATCATAGAATCATAGAATCATAGAATGGTTAGAGTTGGAAGGGACCTTAAAGATCATCTAGTTCCAAACCCCCTGCCATGGGCAGGGACACCTTCCACTAGCCCAGGGTGCTCAAAGCCACATCCAGTCTGGCCTTGAAGACATCCAGGGATGGGGCATCCACAACATCTCTGGGCAACCTGTTGCAGTGCCTCACCACCCTCTCTGTGAAGAATTTCTTCCTGACATCTAATCTAAACCTCCCTGATTTCAATTTATACCCATTCCCCCTTGTCCTATCACTACAGGCTCTTGTAAAAAGTCCTCTCCCAGTACCCTTGTAGGCCCCCTTCAGATACTGGAAAACTGCAATGAGGTCTCCTCGGAGCCTCCTCTTCTCCAGATGAATTGGCAAGAGGTTTTAAAGAAATGCTCAGCATCCTCTGCTATTACTGAAAAGTACATCGTGTGTTGCAGTTTCAGGACTGAAGGGTGCTGATTGGCTCTACAGTGAAGAGGACAGATGAAGCTTCAAAAATTTTGGCATGAGTTTGGAACATAGTCTTTTTCCTCAAACTGGAAGAAGGTTGTAATTAGAAAATTCTGTTTAAATGGGAGCTTATCAGCTAGAAAATAATTAAATGCAAAGAAATAAAGAAGTAAAGAATTGTATACAGGCATTGGCAGGTGTCCCTTTTAGGCAAGCAAAACACTTTTCAGAAGACATTGCCAAAAACTCAAAACAGAAGAAGACCAAAGCCAGAAACCCAGCACATTTTCTTTCCATCTTCTTCCCCTTTGCAAGTGACACTTTAAACCCAGGCAGAAATTCTTCTGACCCTCTCACGAATTACCTACCCATCATTGCTTAGGAAGCAAGGAAGGAGAATAGAAAAACAAATACTACAGCTAAGATCGTTGTTCAGTCATTATGTATAGTACGGAAACAGGCTAAAGACAGTTAGAAATTGGTGACACATTCTAAGAGAAAAAAACCACGACTGGATTAAAGGAAGACTGAAGTTCTTAGGTTCTAGAAAGACACACAAATGTGGCAATACAACACCAGAAATCATCAGAACAATTTATGCTACACATTCAATGCACAGCTGCATGCTATAAACAATGAAAAATAATGCTTGGTTCATCAGAAACCACATACCTCTCTTCCCTTTTGGAATCCCAGAAATTTGGAAGTGTTATGATTAAAAAAAAAAAAAAATCTAGTATTAAAATATGTGATGTAATATTTTAGAGATTACTGGTCTTTTTTGTCAACTGCACCATAAAACACTGTACATATTCTTAACATTACGATGTGAAGTCACCATACTTAATCTTGTTTTGAGTAGGGAATGTATAATTTTGTAATCTTGTTCTCAGATATATTTTAATATTGAACTTCTGCACTCTCCATAAATTTCAGTAAAATTGAACATTTATTACATGAATGAAGGAAGAGGAAAACAGTCTTTAAAATAACTTTATTCTTTACAAGCTGCCTTATATTAGATTGAAAACTTCTGCTGAACTTTTTCTGAAGGCACGTGCAACATATTTACCATTCTGAAACATACCACATCTCTGATTGCAAATAAGTTGTGCAGAAAGTAATCGTTGAACAGATTTTTAATCATACATGTATCATTTGATCTGTTTTTTCTGTGTTCTTCTCCATAGAAGTCTAATATTTTTGCAATAATACTGTTCCTCAAAAGACAAAGACAACAGTATATACATTTTGTTAAGTAATCATTACAGAGTAACACAGTGGCAACAGTAGTGTAGAACTGGACCTCCAGGGAATTAATTTCAAATCATCAAAACAGCTGTTTCTTCAGTACAAAATAAAACATCTATAACAAGTTCACACATGACAGATGTAAGCTTAAAACTAGATTCCATAGTGTGATATAAAACCAGATGTTTTGGATGATCATATTCATAACTATATATACTAAAGCATGTTTATCCTTTTGCATATTTTCCCCAAAAATATTGAGTTTTCTGAGAACATCTTTAAAACAATTTCCTGAACTTTACAAAACTGTATTTATTAATGAAATGTTAATAATATATACAATTGTGTGTACCTGGTCAAGTTTATTTTTGTAATTCCTCAATATAAAAGGTGCTATAATTCTAAATATTCTAAATATTATGGTTTCTGTATCATGAAGCAAAAGACTTTAGAGCATGAAACAAGAAATTGTTCTATTTTATTTCTTCTACCTTATAATGCCATTTTACAAGCACAAGTTTAAAAGCAGTACTTTTCCAATCACCAGAAGAGCAATGTGAAAGTGATTATGGCATTATTTTTAGGTTAAAATCAAGATCTATACAGCATGATGAAAGCTAGCATTCAGATATATTTTCTTTCCATTTTGAATGAGAGGTGAAAAGTTGGAAGGAACAACTGCACAAGGCCATGAATGTTTTCCATACCATTTCACCACCTCCAGCACAAAGATGCTTTCTCTATTTTATGCTCTTTAATTTTCATTTCTAAACCTACAGTTCATTCAAGTGAATTCAAGTAGAGTTTTATTTCACTTCACTTTTCATAAGCTTCAAATCTCATATTCCTCTGTAAATGTGAACTGCCTTAAACATATGTCAGAAAGTAAAGCTAAAATGTTTCTTGACAGAATTGCTTTGCATCAGGGGAGAAAAAAATCTAGGAACAAACCACTCTACAGCAAATGCAGTTACAGCCTCACCTCTGAATGATGTTCTTCATTTTGCTGTAATACTTCGATACAGAGTTCTGCAAGGTGAAGAACCTCTTCCAGTTTTCCAGCAGGTGATGCTTGGTTCATGGTCTCTGTATGAATATAAAGGCAAACCAAAATTGCTTTAGTTTCAAATAAGATTCAACAGTAAGAGCAAATGATGTCAGAAACAAATGACAATGGTGCAAAGTTACAATTTCACATGTTAAGGACAATGATTTAGTAAGTAAATGCAGCTGAATGTCCAGATCACTAGAAAGATAAAATATTAAATTCACAAAAGAAACACTGATCATTATAAATGTTATCTAATTTAATATGCAAGAACTAACAGGTGCATCAATGTATTAGATGCTCAACTTCTGCAACAAGCAAGTTGCAATTCTCTTCAAGGTCAGATACACAAAGGCAGCAGCCAGTAGAGACCTTTTTTGTTATTGCACCATCAGTACAATGCCGTTCTCATTAAGTGACTCATTACTGTCATCAGCAAGATTCATGCATTTTAAGGCAGTCAGAAATTCCAAATGATTCATCTAAATAAGACACATCATTTGAGGTGAATTTAGAAATAAGAAAAGTAAACCCCACAATAATTATTTAAATAACTGTTTTCTAGTAAGTAATTATTCAAATAACTAATTTTCTACCTGCTGCTTAGCAATGAGTGAACCTGCATTCTTATCAGTCCCATAGTGAAAAGTAGCACTATAAAATAGACGTTATAACAGAATTGACACAAGTCTGCTAAAAACTGTACATCAAAGAAAACAAGGACAAATGCAAAAGGTACAAATGACATGGGGATCACTCATTCTACAGAGTAGACATCAAAAAGAAAGCAAGCAACAAAGGTAAAACAAACGTAACTAAAATTCTTACAGGGCAATTAAACTCAGTTGAGGTTTCAATTAAAAAAAAAAATCACAGGACTAGGTCCCAGGAAGAGTCATAGGAGATAAGGGAGGAGAGTAATTGAAACTTTTACAAATCGTAGTTTAATCAGTGAAAGTAATTTGTCCAACTACATAATTTGTGCCATTAGGAATAACTTCAGTATCAACTGAGTTATATGAGCTTGTTTACTTAACAAAGCTCTTGTCCCTAAGCATAAACCATGGGATGGAAATGAAATTGTACAATAAGAGGACTTATGAATCTGGTAACACAAGGTGAGTGAGGGTCTCAGAAATCCTATTTTCTCATTTTCTGTGCATGTTCACAGATCTCATGAATACGCACTTCATATGCAGAAAATTGTGCTGACACTTCTTTCTGCTTTATGCATTCATCATGACACAGAACATTAGCAGATTAATTAAAAAACTTACATAATCTCCCTGGTACCAGTAAGAATATCAAACTGCATGCACTAATTATTTTTAACACTTAACATTTCTGGTAAGTCAAAAAAACTTTTCAGCTATCTTAAAGGCAGGTGACCTTGTCCATTTTTTCAGCACTAACACACTCATGCAGAGTATCTTACTGAAATATATAGCTTTAATGCAATTTTTGAAGAAACACTGGATTAGAACCTCTGCAAACATCTACTTAAGTTGACTACAAAACCATATTTTTTGGTGCAAAAATGAAGCAGGGAAATTAGTTACTCTAAAACTATGAAATGTTTTTCAAATCTTCCTAAAACAGATCACATAAGCAGACACGTAAATTTCCCTTTGACCCAAGTATGGCAAGTTTCTGAATGACGTGTCATGGCAGGAATGACTAAAAATGTGGGCCAGACTACGTTCAATGAATTTCAGTTTCAAGTCTGCATGAAATTCCCCATGCTATTTACTAGTTTACTCTGAACTATTAATTACTTGCTAAAACCATGTTCTTGATGCTTCATACAGCTTTCAACAATATTTTAAAAAACATTATTTTCCTGTACAATTTATTGAGAAGAAAAGGTGAATTGCACTCACTCCACATCCTTGGACAAATCTCTCTAATTTTGCTGTTGTTTACTTATTCACAGAATAAGTCAATGCATGCAATTTCATCTGGATGGTATACACCTCCCTATATTTTGCTTAGGCTTTGTCTGTATCTTCCTTTTACATCTGTAAATTACCACATCATCCAGTGTTTTTTTCTCTGCAACTAAGGAGCTTTCACTTTCAAAATCTAGTGAATATGTGTTATGTATATCCACCATTTGCATGGGTGTATACGTAAGGGGCTACACAGTAATTTGAGAGAGAAGTAACTAAATATTAACTTTTTTTACCAAGCAAGTAGTGTATTTGAAAGATGAGTACCAATAAACTGTTATCAGGAAGTTTTAGAACCTCCAAAATATCTGAGCAAAATAGTGTACTTGTCTTTATAAGCGTAAAAAACTACAGGAATAGGAATCAGTGCTGTCAGTTTTCATTATATTCATGATGTTTTTCTTCCCACAATTACTAAGGGTTGTTAAGATGTGTTTACACTGCTCAAACTAACAAGTTGGAGCAGGAGTCAAGTCAGTAAATATGCTGCTTGACATCTTTCAGAAAATAAACAGAAAAAGCCATCAATCATATGTTTCCAGCTTCACATTCTGCCAAAATGAAAAAGCAAGCCAGGCTTTGCAAATAATGGATGCTTTCTCAAGTACACATTATTGGTGAGTCACATCGGCACCAAGAAAATATTGTTAAATGAGCTAAGTTAACTGACTAAAATGCTACTGAAATGAAAAGGTGACTGCTTCATGGACCGATGGAGCCTAGGGCCACAAGGGACTGTCAGATCATCTGGTCTGACCTCCTGTGTCACACAGGTCAGAGAACTTCTCCCTGTTCTTCCTTTCTTGAGCCCATCAGGATGTCTAAAACCTAGCAACGTTATGTCTAAACTCTAACTTAAGCTAGAAGAGCTTCTCTCCAGAAGAGAGTTTATCCTTGAAGATAAATGTAGAATTCACCTCTTTCTTTTCCTCCTCAGCACGTAAACTGTTAACCATGTGTTTAATTTCTCATTGGCATTTGCTGACCACAGGAATCTGCTGATTAAAGGGTGATTCTCCTCCTTCAGTATGAGTGTACAGTAGAGCTAGAAGGTACCTGTTTTTGGCCTGCAAGTCCTTTGCCCATGGCATGGCATAGGTCCCTTACTGGTTTTCTCTGTCCAGTATTTCATCCTTCCTCCTTTTCTTCAAACAAGCATATCCATACCAAGACACTCAGGACAGCCAACCTGTTTCCAGGTCAGGTCTCCCATAGACCGATGGCAGAGATATCAAAAAAAAGCAAGTATGCTGACAGAACCAAGTTCACAGCCCTGGCAGGCTTACAGGAAATGGCCTCAAGTTGCGCCAGGGGAGGTTTAGATTGGATATTAGGAAAAATTTATTCACAAAAAGGATTGTCAAGCATTGGAAGAGGCTGCCCAGGGAGGTGGTGGAGTCAACATCCCTGGAGGTATTTATGAGACGTGTAGATGTGGTGCTTAGGGACAAGGTTTAGTGGTGGGCTTGGCAGTGTTAGGTTAATGGTTGGACTTGATGATCTTAAAGGTCTTTTCCAACCCAAACGATTGTATGATTGTATGATCCACGTCCGGGCAGGTAGATGGCGCTGGAGATGTGGTGATGTTGCATTTAGGATTTGGTCCAGCTCATCTTATGCCGAACTGCAATAGAACATTCAGTTTGCATTTTGATCCTGCATGTAGGCAATTGGCATTTGTTTTAATCTTCAACCGCACTGTTGCTCTGGTTGCTGGCAGCACTCACCTGCTGTGCTACTTAACATTAATGCTACCAGCGTTAAAGCCTGGAGAAAGCTCAAGATGTCTACTAACGGAGGTGCCTGACCACCAACTAATGAATCTCTATGCATGTGCCAGAATTGGACCCACAGGAGGGCAGATAATGTGAAGACTGTTAAACTCCTTCCAGGATGTGCTGCACACAGAGCAATGCACGGCCAGAGCAAGTTTTGGACTTTCTGAAGGAATATCGGCTGTTCGGACATTGTGCAGGGGGACCTAAACCTTCTGTACTTCTTTGCAAATCCAGTTGTAGTGAATGGAGCCTAAATGAGTTACCCTTTATTCCATACCAGCTCTCTTGCCCAGGAATCTGCCAGATTCCTTCCAAACAGGAGCCGGAGAGTGAACTCATATCGATGCAGATGGGATGACAGGCAAGCCCTGCAGTAAAGCAGGCTATAATATAATTTGATAATACAGATACCATACTTAGAGCTGTATGGAATCAACTCTGCTCCAATTACTGTGCCCATTCATTTGGACTTTTTGACATATGAAACCAGCATGATTGCTTCTAGACTTGTAACAGAAGCAGTACAAGCATCAATAAACTGGAGGTAATATATGTTACTGGACCTGAATTGACTCTCCATAGTTAATCCACAACTGGGATAATCCAGCCACAGATAATTTCGATTTGACTGCGGTGGATTTTCTTGCAAATTCTCATAGAATTAATTCTGAATGTAAATTAAGGAGTGGACAGCTGGGAGGACATCCTATATTTTTCTGATAACAAAAAATAATCTAGTCTTATATAAATAATGGTATTTAGCCTTAATTAGGAAGGTGAAACCAGTCTTTTGATAACTGCTTTCTAAGAATTCAATAGGATTTTAAATTCTAGAGACAAAATACCCCCCTAAAAATAAATTACCATTATCACCTATGTAGAGAGAGATTATGTTATTTGCAGAAAGGCAGAGTTCACATCTCGTAGTCCATAACATATCATTTTGTAAAGTGGGTTACACTATAATATTTTTAGTTTTTTTAAATTTATCATAGTATTCAACGGAATTGCCTTTATGGGACAATCACAGAATTATTTTTGTTTAAAGCAAATCTTTCGGCTCATGTGAAGCTGGAAAAAAACTCCTGAAACAACAAATTTGAAGAGGTAAAAGCAAAATTAAAAAGGCAGACTTGAAAAGAAATTCAATTTTCAATTACTGATCAATGATACCTAATTTATGATTTTTTTATATTCTAGTTTTGGCAACACAGATGCTGGCAGTTGGTATTTTCTTCCTTTCCCTAACTTCTAATTGCTCTTCAAAAGGGGAAAGAATTAATGTTCTCAGCACTTCCTGTTCCTGTGGAA